TATATTTAAAAGCCATAACAATCGTCAGGATTTCCTTAAAAAAAGGATCCACTTTTGTGATGTCATTAATAACAACGATGTATGGCACAGCTACGACAAAAATAGGATAATTAAGTTTAATTTTACGTGCGTATATATATATATATACATAGAGAGAGAGAGAGAGGAGAGAGAGAGAGAGTAGGGCCTTCGAATTGAGGAAAACTTTGGTGGGCTGTTTATTGTAACGGGCATGCGCTCTTCCGGTACTATAGGTACCTATCAAAAGCCAGTTTTTTTTTTCTAGGACAAAACAGCATACGCATCCTTTCAAATCACAATTCGTCGTTTTTAGAGTCTGAGCGAAAATCAGAAATTTTTTAATCTTTATTTTTTTTCTTTGCTTTGATTTTATTCTTATTTCTTTGCCCAAAATCGACGGATTATATTGTTCCCAGTTTTCATACGGCTTTCTTGAATAATCCAATAAGTATTTCCAGAAGACAATCCGATAGATTCTGAAGAGCGTTTAAATTTCAAGTACTCTAGAACTAAAATTAGTTAAATAGCTATTTTTTTTTTATAAACTTAGGTTCTGGAGAAATGTTGATGACTGTTCCACAAAGGAGACTATCAATTTTTAATCAGGTTATTAAGGTAAGGTCGAACGATAAGTTTTTCTTAAGACTTTTTAACCCTTTTAAATTCAGAGATTTTTTAAGCTTTCGGCTGTTATGAACCCAAAATTTGATACTGGTAAAATTATCTCTATTTGGGCCACACTGATGAATTACGCGTGACAAACAGTTACTTTTTAAGAAGTAATCTGCGGGTTAAAACAGTTTTAAAAGCGAGTAGCCTATGATATTTCTGTCGTATGCAAATTATTTCGTTGAAATATGTCTTTGTGTCTAATCTCAACAACAGAGTATAAGAAATTTTCAGTCTAGACGGGTCGCTATGGATATAGAGCGAACGGCATCCATATTGAGATAAACCTTGACAGGCTTATTGTCATAACGGCCAGCGTTCAACTACTATCATTAATACTAAAAGACCTATTCATTTTAAAATAAAATACTAAACTCATTATGGTACAAGAAGTACATCATTTTTGCAATTTGAGCGAAAATGAGTTGTAACATCTATTACCGTCAGACCTCCATCGAGATCAAGGATCTTTTTTGCCTGAAATCAACGGTCTACATTGTTGCCAACTTTCATACGACCACTAGAATCCGCAGCGTATTTATATGAGGCCAATAAAAAATTCTCAATAGGTTTTGTTATATAGAGTTGGAGGGCCTATCAACTTAATACACTTCACGTAGACTACGATTAACGAACACGAATGGCTAAGCAAGTATGGTGCTGCGTATTTACCCAAAAACCAAAACTGTTTAAGTTAAATTTGATTGGTACATGTAAATTCAGCTCTAGAAAACGGCCATTTTCCTTAGATTTAAAATATATGTACATGTAGGTAACTTCAGTTTCGAATACTGAATTGAAAACATTTGAGAACTGAGTGCTTCGATTCGAAGAAGCAGGCGAGCTTTTAAACAGTCCTACAAAGCGAAGGTTTGACCGAATTGCAATTGTAAGTGAAGTTCTTCTGTAACGCATTTGCTTACGTTGCAAAGTTAGGAAGAACGTTCCTCATAAATGATTGGAATGGATTGAAACATACTTTGTGGTAAAGCTGCTTTATGGGGATAAGCATGTGAAAATCCGATAATGAAAGAATGTAATATGTGTGGCGTCCGGGTATACTGTTGAATGAAAAACATTAAGAAGTCTTGAAATTCAGAAGACTCCTACTTAGAAATCAGCGGAAATGGCGTGGGCACTTAAAGTAATAAGCGGGGAGATAGGTGGCAACTTTAAAATTGATGAGTGTATCACATGGGGCACTCGGGTGTACAGTTGAATTGAAGTCAAATGTAAATTGTTTATTCAATGAATAGCCTCAGTGGCCGTTGTGCAGGTCCCAGTTACCACGATACGCTTCAATATTTGACCACTGTTTGACCGCAGCTCTAATAAAAGCCCCTATTTGGACTTTAGCATCTAATATGAATAATAGCGTCGATAGTAGATGCGGGCTGATGGGAAGATGAAGCAGGTACACAAAACCGGCTGCTTCTTAGGAAAGTCACATCTCTTGTTTTCATCATCTGCAACTACGTTCGAATCTTTCGTGCGACCACATAATAAATATATTCCTCGATGCTGGTAAAAAAAGAACAGTACGCCGTACATCTCGCGTCACTGAGAAAAAATTGGACTGGAACATATGTGTGAATTACTAGGTGGCGCCTGCGAAAAGCACACAAATACGAACGCTTGTTAGACGTTTTATATATGTGTATATACAGATATATATTCTAGCAAGCAGCCAGTAAATAAGATCAATGCTTAGCTGAGCACAATAGCATGGCGACCTGGTAGGATGCCGTACTTATTTACCTTTTTAACTCGCATATTTTATCACACTTGATCTTTAAAGTAAGTTTCACTTAGCATTCATCCAAGACTAAGCAAAAAAAAAAAGCCAACTAAGCATCTCGTTTCGTAGACCGCCAAAAATGTAATTGAAAGGATAACTCTGATAACACCTGTTTCACCTGTATGTTCGGAAGCGCCTGACGACACTACATGCTTACAGCAGAGTACATGGTTGCCCAATCAATAAAAACTAATTTTTTCCTATGGGTCGACAAGACTTCAGTTGGATCGCTTGAAGAGCTGAAACAAAACCTGGCGGTTGGGCATTTAAGGGCCGAAGGGAACCGGGTCAAACGATCCATATCGAGTCGAACGATTCGGTTAACAATACTGGAAGGAAAAACCAATTTCTCTGATGTCTAGTTGAGGCGAAACGACAGACGCGTAGAAATGAAAGCATGGAAAAGGTGTGTCATAATGCTTACCATTTGGGAAAACTTGACTAAAATCCCTTTCGGTGTTGTTATATAGCTGTAAAATGCTTTCTGCTATGTGTATTAGATTTACCTACTTCGACGAAAACATTAACGTTTTCAAAGCTGCGGTTTAGTAAAAAAAAAAAAAAAAAAATGTTTGTATATTCTTGCTGCGGCTTATACTGCGTCATCTCTTTACTCAATATGAGGTTGTTCCAGTGATTAATGGTAGATGTGCATTTCTTTTCGTGCCGTTCTGTTGCCAACCTATCAACGACGAATCCCTAAGACAAAATGTTGTTAGTCTGCCACATTGGAAAGCAGCAAACTGAGCGAGGGCCCAAAGCAGTAAGGAATCGTTACGTCAAAGCTTCCCATAGTTCCTATACTTGGTTACAATGATACTTCCTTCCAGATCCGACTGTCTCCTCACTGTACCTTATATTGCATGACGTACTAAGGGGTGCGGTAGAAATTAGTTATCCATAGAATTGGCTCTCGAATCGATTGCTCCCGTTACGGATACAAGTCATGCGTATGTAATAGTAACATCTTCAGCCTCGATGCATTTAGGACTATAGCAAAGTGTAGAAAAAAAGTAAAATGGTTAGCAAACAGCAGCCGCGGTTCACGATGCTTAATTTACTCGTTACAGAATCATTGAAACCTCAGTAGATACCAATACGCCAGCGTGTTTCGACATGAATTCTATGACACACGAGATTGGGGGCGAAACAGAGCTGCATACAGTTGCCTTATCACCTTTTCCTATCAACGTCATTTTTTCGGGCTGCGAACGAATCTGTTACCGAACCGCTAGGTACCAACCTCCGGGGTCGGCTTAAAGCTATGCGAGCCTCCTCCAGCCGTTGAGCTGCTGCACGGCATGTTGGCTTCCTCCATCGTGTTGATGTCAGAATTCGACTGCCCCCTCCGTAGTTATGGGGAGCGACTACAACAACGAGAACTACTCTTTCCTAAAATAGAGGTGATGTTCGCCCCTCGAACATCACCTTCACTTTGACAAATCGTCTGATTAGTCGAGTTCATGCACTACATCACAGATGATCCGATTTGATGAAATACACAATTTTGTTCTACAAACAGCGAGACACTTCTACGAGGTCCTCAATACCCCATACCACCTCAATGTACGATTTGGCTTGAATTATTTAGTAAATTCCAATCGATATATCACCGATGCTTCACGTCGAGGCAAGATGTGCTGGATCGCTAATACCATTAACGCCTCCCATAATTTCTACTATCTGACCTGCCTGTGCGATTAGAGGCTAGTATTAACAGCAGACATTCGCCCAGCAACGATCATCATCACCATCGTCGTCGTCAGAAGCGCGATACCCGACTGATTATGGCCCACTGATCGCCGTTCGCCGTCGTTGTTCGGTCAGTCGGAGTCGGTTGTTGCCTTTGTTATTGCTCCGACGCACTACGACCGCAACGACCACGGCTGTCGCCACAGCCGGCTACTGTCTGGCTGGCTGTCTGCCTGCCTGACTGACGCCTGGCAGCAGCAGCGACGACGGCTAAACGGCATCGACCGTCGTTGTTGTTGAGCTGCTCCAGGCCGCAGGTTCAGCCTTTCGATAACTAGTCTCAATAGAAAAAACACCAACAGCATGAACAATTGGGGCTGTGTTTATTCCAGTGTACAGGCACGGAAATGCTCGCCACGAGTCTGCACCGCACAGCTTCGCAAAATGAGAATAACCAACGAACGTCGTATAGGGGCAGACGTGTACAGACTCATCCACTCACTCACGCACGCACCAGATCACAGATCAGGGGGCTTCATCAACATCACAAATACCACGGCGACAACCGCTGTGACCATGACAACAGCAGAAAAATACTGCTTTCGTATTCGCTTGGCTTCTGTTGTTTTCTTCAGCTCGAGCCGTCAATGCTGTCGATCTTTTCGATGGCAAAACAGGATCTGATTCACAGATAACGGGCTAACACAAAAAATTGCATCGCCCAATGACAAGATCCGCTGATACTTGTTCGAAGCGACAACTCGTAGCATTACGGAATTTCAGTTTGTCACGGTTAATTTTATATGGCAACAATCGCGCTCCCTCGTTATTTCGCGGTTGGAAAATAGCTAGGCCGTTAGTTCGTAGACAACAAGGCGAGACTGATGAAAACACTCGCCAAGATTGGTAATGATGCTGGTGCGCAAGCCAGCAGCGTTCCGTTGCCAAAAAAGAAAATTGAGCCCCACTAGGCAAGTGCTACTTATCTACACGGTAGCGAGTGTCCACATGCACGACAAAAACTTTTCGATGACCATCGAGTTCTCACAACCAATGCTGTTGTTTCTACTGCCTGTGCTGGTCTACATTGCACCTCACTGGCAGCAGCAGCAGCAGCAGCAGCAACAGCAGCAGCAGCAGCAGCAACAACAACAACAACAACAACAGCAGCAGCAGCAGCAGCAGCAGGCCAGCATCATCTCGCCTACCGGGCTGAACGGCCAGCAGTCAGTCAGCCAGCCAGCCAGCTGCACAGACAAACGCTGTGCAGCTACCACTGATGCTGCCTCATCCGGTTCTCAACAACAGCACCGAGTGGCCGAATCGATCAACCAGGCAAATAGCAACAGCAGCACCGGGAGCACACACAGGGCAGACGGGCCCAAAACAGCAACAACACTCAACAGTCCATCCACTAACTATTCTCTCTTTCTACTCGAGTTGGAAGTGGCAGCACCAGCAGCAGCTGATAACTCATCGCGCTAATACAATGGGCGCGCACAGCTAATGCGCAGGCCGACAGAGGCAGTAGTCGTCATCCAAAAAGAGTTCTTCCCTCTAGGGAAGAAGGAAACGTCTGCATCGTCTGCTTCAAATGTTCGGATTGGCGCCAAATGTAACGGTTGTGATAATCAACGACAAAACAAAATGAAAAGACTCACATTACGTCTAAGAAATCGCACACGGTAAACGTGATAATAAGGTGGTATTAATAATAAAGGAAGCTAAACATTTTTTTATTGAAAAAAGTAAATTATTTAAGGAAAGTGGAATGGATATAAAGATGTAGTTCTATCCATTGTATACACTTTTCTGTGTGACAATCTTAAACAATAGATCGGCTCCATCTGAACCTCGTATTTTTTTCACACTTGCACGCATACGAGGAGCTCAACTACCAGGGGGGGGGGGGGGGCAAGCCTAAAACTAGGGCTAATTTAAAACGAATATAACACACAGCAAGTGCAAGCTTCCATAGTCAGCTTATAGACAGCCTGCAGCCAGAAACAAGAGGTCACATCTTGCTTTTCGTAACAACTGCACAGGCTAATTTTTATTGCAAAATATTATAGAGCCCGAAAGCTCAAAATTGTATAAACTTTTAGCGGAATTTTCCTAGGAGCATTCTGAATAGCATCTGATTCCAGTAGCGTCTACTCGTCCCCAGGTTATTCAGGTACGTATCTTAAGACTCTTTTTTAGAATACGCTTAATGTTTAAATGGACATAGACGATTCAGATTAAATAAGCGACTTGATTTGATGAAAATTACTGAGCTGAGTAGGTTTTGCCGCGTGACAAAAAGTGTGAAGCTTAGCCCAGCGTTTGGGAATCACGTTCCTGCAGTAACGAAGCAGGAATGCTGATACAGTCACTAAGTGGAAATCTGCACATGACAAAAATAACGTGTCTGTACATTTTTAGTACCAATTCGAGATTCCTTTTAGACGGGGTACTTCAATGGAAGTGACCAGGTTTGCACATCGCGAACAACCCGCTGCCAACGTTGTCTATCGTCTAAGGTCGCGTATGTCTTAGGGCTCGAACAAGATAACTACCGTTAGCGTGGTACGTTGGCAGTATAGTAGTTTAGGACAGCTAAAGTTGCCTTATGACGTGGAAAGCTTTCCAATGATACACGAGTCGTATGCAGCTGACATATATAGCTATCAGACTAATATTTATTATATCAAAGTGGCTTTAGACGACTAACGTATGGTCGTATACATATTGGTCTCGTAGAAGAGCATCAACATTTTATGGCACGTAGTGAGTATATGGAGTATAGGAGTATATTATATATAAAAGCTTCTTTATATTATAAGCAAACATTAACTGCGAACTACCACCGCTAACGCTTATGCTACAATGTGAACGTAATTCTTGTAAGTAAAGCAACTTTACTCTACTTTTGTTTAGTATATATATTAAATGCAACATTTTAGCATGGTGTTTTTTTCAGAATAACATTTCCATGAGATTATACATAAAGTTGTGTAACCGTTGGCTTCACATCTATGCAGAAGTCTTATCTACACTATTTTTTTCCAAAATTTACATACTGATAAAAGCGGAAGCTTCCAAACTTTCTAGCCTAACTGTGTAGAAATATGTCAGACATGACTTGTTGTGAAACTTAGACATAACTGGAATTTAACTTCGTTACGTTAGACATTAGGTCTTATCACATGGGTATGTTCCCTTCGGCCTTAAGCTAAACCTGCCCTAATAATAATAAACATCGATCTTGCAGTCAACAAAAGCTTTTGCGACGGACTGAATTCAATGCCAAAGGCCAGCGGACATTAATCATCGCCGCAACAACGGGAACCTTCACGAACGAAGCGAATATAGGTACACGAAAATAGTAAGCGCTACACTATGCGCAGTCCACCTTCTCTAGATACAATAAAAGTGCAGATAGTTCTATTCTTAGGAAAAGTAGAACTTATTGCGGTCGAACAATACTCAAAAGCATCAGAACTTAGTAATTTTGTATATGCTAGATAAGTTGCCTGATTCGAAACAAACGATTAAGTTAGGTTGAAATTCAAGAGTTTGAGCGGTGCCCAAATGCAGACGACTATTTTGTTTTAATGCGGCGTCAGCTATAACTACGCGAACAACTGAAGTATATCGTTCGTTCTTTCTCGCTTTAAACTTGTAGAAATACGCTAAATATCCGCACACAAATACATACCTGGACAACTAACTTGAATGCTCACAGAATTTAAGGTAGCGCGATGAATATTTTGGCGCAATTTACATATCATTCATGATCGAAAATAAAGGGTCTGCGACAGTTCTGCCAATGCCCATTAAAAGTCTGTTAAAGATCGTGAATTGCGATTGCTTCGATCGATTAGGCACGATTTGACCCAGGATGAACGCGCACTGCTGGCCCAAGCGAACACATTGCCAAGCAGACCTTAGCTCGAACGCGCCGGCCACGCGAACACGATTTTCTCTGTTACTCTTGTCATAGTCTTAGCCGATCTACGAAATTTGCAGAATCTGCTTCTGGCCACCGGTGTTAGTTTGCTTTGTTTCAGACTCGTAGTGTTTTGTCCGCACGACAGATCGACGACTATAGCGCGCACTTTGATTGTCTAAAATATTGCTAATGTACGTGCTGCATGTTTTGCATGTCGCTAGAGCTTACTGTACGTGTTCTATTTACCTCTGGCTTGGACGCAGCACCAATCGCGCAGTCATCATCTTCGACATGCGACCTCTTGCTGATGAAAGACAATGCATACAGAACGAGGCCATACGTTCGTGGGCATTGGACGATGAATGGAGTAGAAAATTCGGCTCGAGCTGGCGCGTTACGTTCTCTTAAGAATAAGATTAGCCGCTCTTCTATTTCGTCAATGAGGCAAACAAATTATTCACGTATACCTTTTTCTTGTCTGAAACAGTTTGTCCGCCAAATACATTTTGCTCATCGTTTCAAAGGCCGGAGCATTGCCTGAAGCGAAGTTAGCGGACGCTCAGCCCAGCCCAGCCCAGCCCAGCCCAGCCCATTCTATACGAAAATTCGTTCGATACGACGGCTACCGCTCGATTGTGCAGCTAGTTAAAAGCACATAGTAGATATATACGCAGGTTCATGCATTTAATGCAGATTACTTGTGATCACAATGTTCAGCCCTATTCTCTGTTATAACGAAGTAAGCTATGAGACAGGTAACGCAGAATGATTAGATATTTCAAGAACGGTCGAATTTAGTAAAGTGCCCGAGAAGTTGTAGGTGCACGCTGAAAACTTACGTATTTCGTTTGTGTTTAAAACGGTTTAGAACGTTTTTAGTGGTAATTGTAACACGCGACAGTCCGTCTAACTAGCTACTTTTTTTTAGCTCGTTGCTGATTCTAGGCCTTTATTTTCTGTGTCTTGATATAACCATGGTAAGGTATGAGATGAGGAGACGGGCACCAGTTGGGCCAGCAACTTCAGTAGCTCACCGGAGCGCGCAAGGAAGAGCGTTAATTCGCAGGGTGCCAGTCCTGGTGCGCTGTACTCTATATTCGATAATTGTTTCGGCAGTTTTTTGATTATCCCTAAATCTGTGGTTTCGCTGCGCTGATCTGAGTGTTTTTTCTGGAAGCCTAGAAAACAACATGGTAACAATATGCCCTAATAACCATTTGGCTATGCCGATACCGGATAGACCAACTGCCGAATGATATAATGGTGAAGCTCGTTTATTTTAAAGCAGAGATGAACGCTTGTCGCCGGCCGTTATTAGACAATTTTTGTTGAAGCAAAATATCCCCTGAACGTTTAAGGTGCTGCTAGGTTTGTAGGTGAGAATCGTAGTTGAAGCCATGCTGTGCAACTATAGCACATGCAAGAAACATTTCCGTTTTACTGTGATATAATCACGCTGACCTATATACGACCTGAAACCGTGTAGTCTCCTAGTTGGAAGGGTACAGTTGCTGATCGTGGGGCACAGTTCGGTTGATTTAGCTAACTCGGGACATCGTATGCACAAGTTTGTGTTCTATATACATAGTACGCGGCATATAGCGTAATCTGAAAGGCTCAGAGATGAGAAATTTTGGCCCAGGTACATATTGTAGGGCTTAGCGTTTCGAGCGCTCAAGCTACAGTACCTTAAAAAATTGCATTTTTTGCTTTGAGGGTATAGGGTTCGTGTGCTGTTTTTTTTTTTTAATCTTTACCTAGCTTACTTTATTGTCTAACTAAAACTTTGCGCTCGCTTGTCTGCTCGTCCGATTCAGATCGATCTCATAGATTAATCAATTTAAGCAATTTTTTTCTAGGTAAATTAATTTCACGCTGGAAAGAGCTCTGTGAAAAATAGAGCCGATCGAATAGATACTTTTGGCTTCAGTGGGAAAGCTTTCTTTTTCCGTTGAGTGTAATTGCTCGATACCGTAGCCCATCGACTAAGACAATGATACAATGATTTATCATATATATATATATATATGTAATTCGTGGTAGCCGTAATAATCTGTTCTTGCTTGAACGACAAGTCTGATTTGAACAATATGGAACGAGAAATCATATCAAAGGTATCTCACACATGCAATCTGTATTGAATTTGAATTGAAGGAATGTTTTGTGCAAAGGTGTGCCTGAATGCTGTTACCTGGAAAATGCGCCCGATTCGCGTGACAGGCC